CAAGACCCATCCATGCTTTTTGTGGTGCTTGACTTTGTTTTTATCTGCTTGTGTTGGCCTGAAGCCTAAACCAAAAGTACCCCGGTTACCGAACGGAGAAATAGGCTCTGAAATTCCTTGCAATAGTGCCCCCAAGCCTTTCCCTGGCTCATAACCTTGTCTCATCATAACCGCAACCACCATTATAGATGTGGTGGAAAGACGAGGATGCAGAATGGGCTTTCCTTCCTCAACATGGTCCACAAAAACCACTTTGAAAGCTTGATAGACAATGGACTCACACCCTTCCTTTGCCTCAATGCACGGGATTAACGGGTCTTTATAAATGGATGACTCGTCTTCTCCGTGAACAATAATCTCTTGCCTATTGTGTTCGAACTTGACCATCTGATGCAATGTGGATGGCACAGCTCGAGCTATATGGATCAATGTCCTTCCAAGAAGAAAGTTATAAGAAGTATCCATGTCCACTACTTGGAAGACAATTTCAAAGTCAACCGGCCCAATCATCATAGTGAGGTTGATCTCCCCAATGGTATCTCTCGCTGAACCGTCAAAAGCCCNGTGGAAAGACGAGGATGCAGAATGGGCTTTCCTTCCTCAACATGGTCCACAGAAACCACTTCGAAAGCTTGATAGACAATGGACTCACACCCTTCCTTGGCCTCAATACACAGGATTAACGGGTCTTAATAAATGGATGACTCATCTTCTCCGTGAACAATAATCTTTTGACTATTGTGTTCGAACTTGACCATCTGATGCAATGTGGATGGCACAGCTCGAGCCATATGGATCCATAGCCTTCCAAGAAGAAAGTTATAAGAAATGTCCATGTCCACTACTTAGAAGACAATTTCATAGTCAACCGGTCCAATCGTCATAGTGAGGTTGATCTCCCCAATGGTATCTCTCGCTGAACCGTCAAAAGCCCGGATGCGAACATTGCTGGGTCGGATTCTGTCTATGTTGATCTTCATGCCTTGCAAAGTAGAGAGAGAGCATACATCTACACTCGAGCCTCCATCGACCATGACTCGCTTTACATAATGCCCCTCACATTTGACGACCAGGTGCAAAGCCCTATTGTGCCAGGCTCCTTCCTCGGGAAGTTCATCATCAGTAAAGGAGATTCTGTTTACCTCGAAAAATCTATTAGCCATCTTCTCCAACTCATTCACTATGGTCTTCTTTGAGACATGTGCCTCGTTTAAGGTCTTGATTAGTACACGGGCATGCTCTTTTGAGTGTAGGAGTAGAGATAGTAGAGAGATTTGGGCAGGAGTCTTTCTTAGCTATTCAATGATTGAGTAGTCATGAACTTTCATCTTTTTTAAAAACTCTTCTGCCTCTTCTTCCGTGACAGATTTCTTTATTGGCAATTGTCCCTCTCTGATTTGCTTGGCCTTCCTCATCTCCTTTGGAGAGTAACACCTCCCTGATCGAGTCAAACCTCCAGTTTCCCCCACTTCTTCTATGATTTCCTTGCCTTTGTACGTCATCACAGTTTTGTTGTAGTTCCAAGGAATGGTTTTTGTATTTGTCACAGGGGGTTGCATGGAAGGTCTGATTATGATCGGCTCTATTATAACGTTTGTACTGCCCTATTTCTGCCTTGTGCTGGGGTGGCCTCCAAGGACATACAACCTTGGGTTTGGAACACTAGAGCGAACTTCCATTCTCGTGACCTTGGGAACAAATAAAGTTACATTTTCTAAAATCAGAGCACCTTTCACAAACAATGGCACATCTTGGATCGGACTTACATCCCATTTGGTTCCCTCTTGAATTGTTCCCACGGTTATCTCTACCCGATTAAAGGGCCTGCATTCCAGATCTCGTCCAATCATTACTACAAAATGAACATCGTTGTATGCTGGCAATGGTTGTTTGTAACATTGGGAGGTTCTTCGCCATTTGTTACCACAATCAACTTTTCAGTGATGAGTCTTTCTATAGCTCTTTTTAGAGTCCAACAGTCATCCGTGTTATGCCCCGGGGCACCTGAATGATATTCACATCTAGCATTTACTTGAAATCCATGTGAATCGGGATGCATATGGTGGGGAGCGATGGGTCCAATCATGCCCATCTGTTTCAGCTTCCGGAAAAGACTAGAGTATGGTTCAGCAAATGGGGTGAATTTTTCCACCGGCCTCTGCTCTCAACCGTAATCCTTCCTGGGACAAGCATTGTAGGGTGCCCAGAAATTTTTTTGCTGAGGTCGGGGGGCCCTTGGAGCTGGTGCCTGTACCTGTTGATTGGGAGGCCGAGCATATGATTGAGAATTGAACACTGTATATTGCAGTGGGCCTATAAAGTATTAAGGAATCAGCGGGGGATAATAATGTTGAGGGTAGCTGGATTGCCCCTGCTGAACTTGAACATAATGGTGCGATACCCCTCTTTGAAACTCCCTAGATCACGAAGCCATCATGAACCCTTCATCTCTCTTCTTTCTATTTGCCAAACCTCCCGACCCAGTTTGGATATCTTGGGTGGTGGCTTTGATAGCAGCTTGACTTACAATTCTACCAGTGTTGAGGCCATTTTCGACCATCTCCCCTATTTTGATTGCTTCTGCAAAAGGTCTACCCATCGCAGACATCATGTTCTGAAAGTAATCAGGCTCTTGAGCTTCCAGAAAAACAGTGATCAACTCGTGGTTATCCTTGGGTGGCTTAACTCTAGCCGCTTGCTCCCTCTACTTGATGGCATATTCCCTAAAACTTTCGATCGGCTTTTTCTTCATATTGGACAAAGAATTATGATCCGGCGCAATATCAGTGTTGTATTGGAATTGCTTGACGAAAGCCTGGGCCATGTCGTCCCAGACATGCCAGTGAGAGATGTCCTGGTCAATGAACCACTCAGAGGCTACCCCTATAAGACTTTATCCAAAATATTCCATCAACAATTCTTCTCTTCCGCCTGCACCCCTCAGCTGGTTGCATTACCTTTTCAAGTGGGCGATAGGGTCGCCGTGTCCATCATACTTCTCGAATTTTGGGGTCTTGAAACCTGGTGGCAAATGGATGCGAGGGAACATACACTGATCATTGAACGAGACACTTTTGTGACCACCCATTCCCTATATGTTCTTTATGTTTTGTTCAAGACTTTTCACTTTCCTGGCCATCTCATCCGGCTCACTTGTCTTTGCAGGCTTTTTTTTTTCCACTAGTGACTCATACTTAGGAGTCTGATTGTAGGGAGCTGAGGCCCTGAAAGCCATATTTGGGGAGTAGTATTGGCCATCATAAACCTGAGGTAGTGGCTCATTGTTGGGTCTTGTTACAGGTGGTGGCAGTGGTATTGTATATACCGGTGCACTAGACACAACTAGAGGGGTGTTCCTAAACGGTGCGACTGGAGGTTGCATATTAAAAGTACCGGGGGCAGCATGGAGGCTGTAGTTTGGCACATACCCTGGTGGTAGAATGAGATCGCTCGTTGCATGGAGCGGTGTCTGAGTAGCCTGGGGTATGGTGGATGTTCCCTCTGAAGGACCCTGGGGTGGAGGTCGACCGGAAACCCAAGCTAGATATACATCTGACAGTTGTTGTCTCAATTTTCTTATTTCTTCTGACTCTTACTCAACTGACTGACCCTGCAGATTGTAACTGACCAACTCGATTTCATCGTTGTTATCCATTACTACTGGTCCCTTAGATCTTGTGAAGTAATGATGTGTTGCCAGATTCACCACAAACCAACCACCTTAAACTTACTCTCTTTTAAGGGACAACAATCATGTTCGGGTTAGACATTTTATAGATATGAATTACACATAACATGCCATGCTCCTAACATCATTACCGTTTCTAAAATACATTTTGGAAGGCTTCATGTTTCATTCCGTCTTATCAAGTTGCTTCTTATTGGCCCCTTCCCCCCTCCTTTTTTTTATCAAGTTACACTCCCCCCATTTTGATCCCAGCTTAGATTCATTGAAAAATATTTTGATCGAACCTTTTGTGGGTTACCTACGTATCATGTCGCCTCATGAATCAGATCATTACGTAGTTCAGGGACATGACCTTTTTTTTTACAAAACAAACATCTTTTGGGTTCATTTTCGAATTTTTCTAAACAAAATCTTTTTCATATATATATATATATATATATATATTATTTTTTATACAAGACTCAAGAAGAAGCAATTGCATAAAGATAAACAAGACCAGACTTGACTCAAACAGACTTTTTAGGATAAAAGGCAAAACAACGAGACTCAAAACACCAAAAGACTCTTACAGGATCAAGAATAACAAAGGACTGATAACTAAAAAAAAGGACTTTGATCTTTGCAGTAAAAATCCACCAGCATCGCTGTAATCAAGGCGTTTTTTCCTGCGGCTGACCCCCAACATTGCGGTATATTCTTTCCAGGTCTGCAGATATATGACGAGCAACGTTCAATGATACTTCTGCAAACCGCTTAGGCGTCATTCCCTGACAACTCCTACACGCTCTTGAGGTATATGTGGCTACCTCGAGGAGTCCAAGGCCATATCTTTCTGGCGCCAAACTTCTATAAACTCTACTTCTAACTGATTGATCACCTTTTGGTAGTCGTTCGTGCCTTTCTATTTCACACTCCGCGATCTAGCTCTCCTTGCTTGACTCAACTTCCCCTATCTGATCCCTTAGACCTTGGATTAATGGAGCAAAACCTCTACACTCTTGATCACGGACTACCCTGAACTGGGCTTCTTTCTCTTCTTGTTGCTGAGCGGTTGTGACTATGTTCTTCTTTCGAATTTGGGCTTTGAGTGCTCATTTCTCTCGTGCCCATTGAGCCTTTTCCCACTCAAAATCAACCTGTTGTACGTCCATGGCTGTCTCCAGAATGCCCTTATCTTCTTATAAAGTGTCAATACGAGATTGGAACTCTTGTGCCGCTTCCCTTCTGGTTTCTCTAACTCTGACCTCGATCTCCTTCTCCCAATCAACTGCGTGCCGTATGGATCTTTCTGTCCTTTGCTCGGGGATAGCCTGGTTGTGAGACCACTCAAGGTATGCGAGGCTTACCTCCCCACGTTCACGATCAGCTGCCATCTCATCTAAATCAGAAAATCGACCACCAAACCAAACCTTTTGTGCATATGACTCCCTTGGAGGTTCCTCTCCCTTGAATTTCCACACGAACGGGCGCATGTCCTCAATCGGGGGCCTCTTTTTCTCTCTCCCTAACTGGCGCATGACGCGTAGAGGCGCATAGGGTTGGAAACCTTTGAAACCCATGAGTATGAAGAACGAGCGATACGTCGACATATGCATGACCCTATCATAAGGGAACCAATAATAGTTCCAACTAATTCTATCAGCATTCAATGAACCAAGTAATTTCTGCCAGGCCCTCACCCCCTCTGGAAGATTACAACTTGCGACCCTGTCTGGGTGGCATCCAATGTAATTCAACCAGTTTTCATTGAAATTTATTACTATTGGATGATGATAAAGGTGCTCTATGAACCACATCTGCAGCAGAATGTTGCATCCCTCGAAGTAATCTTCACCCTCTTGGCAGCAGGTCAAAGCTCGAAAAATATCTCCCAAAATCATGGGAAGAATGGTATGATCCTCGATACTTTGCAAATATGAGACCACCGCAACCAATCGAATTCTGATGCACCTACCGTGCTCTGGAAAGACCATGATCCGTAGAAATGATATCATGAACGCGAAGATTCTCAACTCCCTCCAAGCGTCGTAACTCAACTGGTTGACGAATTCTATGCCCGAGAAATTTTCGAACCCTTTCTCGTCCCCAAACCTGTCATAGAGATATTCCAATGGAACCCAACCTTCGTTTAACAAAACCATTGGAATTTGACGGAGGCATAATTTCTTTAAAAAGTTGTTCACACCAACATTTCTCGGAGCAGCAGGCTTTTTCCCACGAAGGTCTCTCCCCAATCCGGTGAGCCCACCTAATTCTTCCAATGTGGGCGTCATTTCACAATCTTTGAACCTGAAGACATTGTTCGCGGGGTCCCAATAACCCACTAGAGCCTCGATTAAACCTCTGTTAGGCTTAATTCCCATGATGTTTGTGAGGAACTTGAGGTGCTTAAATACTTGATTTTGTTCCCATGTAGCACAACTAGCCCACCAATTACAGAGACTACTCGGGGTCTTATCTCTGATCAAGAACATAGGAGGTGTCTCGTCCCTTACCCTTTTCTGACTGCTTCTTTGTGGAGACCTCATGGTGATCCTAAGAGTAAAATATAAAGGGTTAAGACTTACCTAAACTATATGCAAATTATGATCATTCATTATTTATTTTTTTGCCCAATTTAGAACTCAAACTATTTTTTTTTTTAATTACAATATATATTTTGAAATTATCGGACACAAAAGTTGAGATGATAAAAGCAAAAAAATGGCTATTATTACAAAACGACCCTTTAATACTTCCATAGAAGACATAAAGGATGTCTCGGCAAAAAACAGCCAAACACAGGAACAAAATGATAAAAATAGACAAAATAAAAAATAAAATAAAAAACTATTTTTACGAAAATAACCCTTTTCTACTCCTATAGGGGTTAAAAAGCTGTCTCAGCAAATATAACCAGACAAAGCTAGATAAAAATGGCTACTTTTTGCAAAACAGTCTTTCGGTACTTCTGGAAGGTTTAAAGTTGCTTCGACAAAAATGGCCAGTCATAAAGGCAAATGGTAAAAGGTGAACAAATATGGATAAAGTAACTACTTTTACAAAAATGGCCCTTCAGCACTTCCCAGGAAGATTTTAAGGCTGTCTTGGCAAAACAGCTGGAGCATGAGGGCAAGACAGTAAAAGGTGACAAAAATAGGTTTTTTTTTTTTGAAACATGTGGGCTGAACCCAATGGAGCTTGCCTACGTATCTCACATCCGGTGAGAATCAAACTCGCGTAGTTCGGTGAAACTGGGTACTTTTCTCTTTTGATGTTTATTGAAAATTAATCTTTACACCTCGCGCCAAACTACTAAATTTTTTTTTAAAAAAAGGTTATTTGCGCTAAACTATGAGAAAGACTCCTTTTTGTTTTCTTTTTTCTTTTTTTAATGATTCCGCTGCGCCAATTTTCTAAAGCCGGTCGACAATGCAAGTAAGCCTTCCAAATGATGTATCAAGTAGCACATACGTGAACATGATGGTCTCAAATAAGATACATGTCTTATACGGACCCGACCCCTGTACCGAGTTTCGCTAAGTCAAATGCATGTGATGCACATAGAGCGAACCTACTAGGGAAATCCGGTATGAGGTTTGTTCTTCTAGGTTTAAATCCTAGTGGAGAAGGTATCTAGACTGGCTTACTCGAGCGGAAAACTCGAGCCGAGGAGGGTCAGTGTACCGGTAGCATTGCTTTCCGGCTTAACTGGTGGTGCTCCCTGCCTAAAACACGTGTGACTAAAATCCTTCACCGGGTGACAAACACCTAGGCTATCTCAAAGAAAGCGGGCTATGTCAAGCAAATGCCCAATTTTTAATTTCAAGAAGACTCAGAGGGGGTGCGTGAGAAGCCAGTTTATATGTACAGTTCAACAATATCGAAGCAGTAAAAAGCGAACAGGCAACACATTAGGCACAGATAAATCACAATATATACAAAATTAATAAAGTCAAATAAAAAGTCAACATGTATAAGCTCGAATTCTTAAAAGGTCCACAGCAGAGTCGCCAGAGCTGTCACACCCCTTTTCTACCCCTCCAAAAGATAATGTGTGTTATGGATTGTGGGTTAAAGAGTTTTTTCCAATTAAAGTGACAAATTTGAAATATGGATTATTTTGTTATTCAGAGTCGCCATTTGGAATTGATTTTTGGGTGTTCCAAGTCACCTTTTATTTGATAACTATTCAAAGGAAAGTTTGACTCTTTTATTATTGATCTGCGAAAATAAAGTCCGGGTAAGGAATTCTGTTGACCGGGGAGAAGGTGTAAGGCATTCCCCGAGTCCCGTGGTTCTAGCACGGTCGCTTTATTGACTATATTTGGCTTATACTATTTTTTGGATAACTTGTGTTTTGTTGGTTATCATCTTTTACCTATGTCCGCTTTATTGCTTGATTAAAATTATGAAAAAAAAGTTATCTTGAAATAAGTTACGCGTTCTAATACTTATTTTGTTACATATAACAATTATGCCACGGAGACCATACACATAGCCATGATATTTAATTATTTAAAGCGCACCTAAATAAACTAGCGCACTTGAAGTATTTTTCTAAACTAATTTAAGATTATTATAAGACCAAAAGTTATGGAATTTTTTGTGGAAAAAGTGTATGATTTTAGATATTTGAATAAATAAATTATCATATACCAATACCCTACATCCCAACAATTGAAGCCTAAACTTATTAGTGTCCAAATCTTCCAAACTTTTAGCAAGTTTAAATACTATATTTTCAAAAACATGATTAAACATATAACATTTATGGATTGATTTACATTATTATTTATAAAGTTTAAAGATAAATAAATAAAATCACATAAAATAAGATAAAAAAGAGGGAAGAATAAACCTTTAAATGCAAGATTTTCAATTAAATGAGTCTCCAAGAATATGTACAATAATTCAGACGAACGCCGAACAAGCATAAGCAAAGATGATCATCAAAGCCGGTGAACAGAGCTCCAACGGAATCCTCGACCTCGACTGTTAACACCACTCTTTGGCATGTAAAAGGGGATGTTTTGAGGTATTTTTTGTTAGGTTTTGGGGTGTTGAATTGCTGGAAATTTTCGAAAGAAAGAGGAAGAAAGAATAACACGAGTAGAAATTGTCGTAGCGTAGAAGAAGAAAAAATTTGTTTCTCTCAATTCTCCCCTCTCTTTTCTCTCCTTTTTTTCTTTTCTTCTCAGATTTTCTCTTTTAGTTATAGCAAAATTTTCGAAATTTTTCAGGTTTTTTTTTAAAACTATTTTATTATTTTTTAATTAAAAGAAATCCCACTTACAATTTGCTTTTCTTTTTTATAAAAAGAAATCCCACCTCTATTTACTTTTATTTTTTAAATTCCAACTTTAATTACTTTTATCTTATTTAAAATCTCACTTTTTTTTACTTTTAAAAGAGGATTCCCCTTATTTTACTTTTCTTAAAAAAATAATCCACTTTCTTTTGCTTTTCTTATAAAAATTCTACTTTCTTTTACTTTAATTTTTTTTAATTTTCAGCTACCTTTATATTTATATTTTAATTCCAACTTTCTTTACTTTTATTTTTAAAAAAAATTTCACAAAATCTTACTTTTAATTTTCCACTTTCTTTTACTTTTTAAAAGAGAATTCCACCCACTTTTACTTTTATTTTTTTTATTCCATACTTCCCTTTTTCTTATTTTTTATATCTCACCCGAAAATTAATTTTTTGTTATATTTTTCTGATTTTTTTAATTATTTTAAAAATAAAAAATAAAATAATAGTAATAGTAATAATTCACCTT